GGATCTACGAGCGGCCGAGAGCGCCAAGGAGTGGCGTTGGGGCGGGGGCTATTGGGGGGGTGGAGGTGGCGGTGGTTATTGGGGAGGCGGGGGACACCACCATCATCACCATCACCATCGTTACGAGGCTGCTGGGGATGACACCATTGCTAACTAGAAAGCGACAAGATCTAACCCAATCAATTACTGGAGCTACTTGGTACTCCTTCATTGATAGTACTTGCTACTTTTTCCTCGTGTCGTGTCAAAAAAAATTCGTATAAACCTACTTTGTAGAATTTACGAAGTCCGCTTCCTTCAAGCGCGCACTGCCACGTATATACCCCGAAATAACCCTAAATACTACATATACCTTCTAGTTTGACTTTCCGTTCGTTAAACGCTCTTGCTGTTGTTGTTGCTGTAACGCGCACTCGCTGTCGACTGCCACGACTGTTGCATTGATTCGTAACATGTCTTGAAATAGTACATTCGTGACATTCGTGGCGCCATAAAAGAAAAGTAGATACTGTCGTGTAGACGAGATGCTGTCCATTGCGACCCAACTGCTGGGCACCCCACCCCCTGCACCACACCCGCAGAATCCATCGACGTCCTCGAGACACTAGTCGCTAGGTCGGGGTCCAAGTCCATCACGTGATATGAATCAAGTGACTCGCCAGTTGATGATGGGTGGGTTGGTATCAAGTGAAAGGTCATTCTTGGATTTGCACGCGACCACCATGAAGACGACAACTGTATTGCTGGTATCGATGGTAGCGGACGCGGAAATTTATTCATATTGCGAAATTGTCTAAATTTGATCCATGTTCGTGGGAGAGTCTGTGCAATTTTTCGCACGGACACGAACACCGATTGATTTGCGAAATCTCCCGATTAATGCCTTCTACACTGTGTTTGTCAACGATTTCTACGTCTACTGTATGAAAACTGTATGAAAACTGTACGAAACAACGATGACTTCACACTTATCGCATCTATCCTTTCACATTGTGCAGAATCCAGCTCAGACGTCTCCTTATTTGATTGTTGTGTTGGCTGCTTGCTCCATTCCATTCGAACGTGAACTATAGATTAATAAATGGATGGCTGTTATTTACTTCTTTTGGTGATTGATCTTTGTGAGGGCAAGCAGCGCCAAGACTCTGAAAAACACGATGAACGCCACGACCACCAGCGAGTTACCGACCGCGTCGTCGTACTTCATTTCGAACACGAGCTCGATAAAATCTTTCATGGTGGCGTGGGGTTTGCCCAGTTGTTTCAAGATGAACGGGGGAAAGTCGTGGATGGCGCCGCAGCCCATGCCCTGGCCGTCGTCACATTTGGCCAACACCGACGCGGTCATGGCCGCCAAACTGTACTTTTGGGGCGTGATGTGGTACAGCCACCGGTAGCCGGCGGGAATCGAGCTGGCGGGGGGATTGAAGCCCATGAAGAGGAAAAAAATCGAGTTGATGAGGATACCCAGGAGCGTGGCGACTTCGACCCGCGGCGCGGCGTACGCTGTGAGCTGCCCCATGTACACGTTCAGCAGCACCATCAAGCTCAGATTGAGCCCGTAGAAGACGGCATCCCCGAACGTGCCTTCGAACCCCACAAATGGGTAAAAGATGGCTGTGAACACGAACGAGCTCAAAAATACATAGGGCAGCTCTACCACCGTGGCCCCGACAAAGTACTACACGGCGCTGTACGTTTGGGCCGCGCGTTCGCGGTAGAACGACTCGCGCTCTTCGGTGGCCAGAGGGAGCACGCTGTTGAACGAGACCAGGCTCAGGAACACGGCGGTGATGAAGATCATGCCCGCGCCGCCGTTGGCGCCGGCAAATGTGTTGAAGTTGATCTTGCAAAACACACTGCCAAACAACACTGCGAGGACGATCGAAATCATGAGCCGCGTCCAATTGTATGACGCCGTGCGCCAATACATGCGCAAAAAGCGCTGAATACGAAGCCGGCATTGCGTGGCGGACGGCGCCGCGCGTTTCTTGGCGTATTTGAGCTCGGCTAATTCGCTGGACGGGAACGCGACCTTGGCCACCCTGGTGGTGAGGGTTTGAAATTCTGGACTTGCTTGGAATATCTTTACAAAGTCCATGTCGGGCGTGGCGTCGTGGGACTTGACTTCCATCCCCGCCCCGATACACTCGAGCATCCACGTGGCCGGATTCACACCAGCGACAAGCGGCGACAATGCCGGCTGTACGCGAGAGAAATACTCGATCAAGTTGGTTGCTTTCGACCCCAAATCGCCAAAAAACACGGTTTGGCCGCCTCGTTGGAGCAGCAGCAAGCTGTCAAACATGTCAAACACTTCGGCGGACGGCTGGTGGATCGTACACACGACCGTTCGCCCCGTGGACGCGATCTTTCGGATACCAGTCATGACGATCTTGGCCGACCGAGCGTCTAACCCACTGGTCGGTTCGTCCAGAAAGAGCACACTCGGGGCCGCCGCCAGCTCGACGCCAATCGTGAGCCTTTTCATCTGCTCCACGGAACTTCCCCGGATGATGGAGTCGCCGAGGTGGGTCAATTCGAGCATAGCTAAACAGTCCTCGACAAAGGCGAGCTTGGAGGTTTCGGAGACGTCTCTGGGTTGACGGAGGAGCGCGCTGAACGTCAGTGCTTCTCGGAATGTGGCGCTCTCGCTGTGGATGTCCATTTGCTCGCAGTACCCCGTGCACTGCTGCATGGCCAAATCCGTCGCGGGGTACCCGTTGAGCAATATGTCGCCGGTGGTCGTGCCTTCAGTCTTTCGCCCGGCGATCACGTCCATCAGAGTAGTCTTCCCTGCGCCAGTCGAACCCATGAGCGCCGTGATCGTACCCGGCAGCGCATACCCCGTCACGTTGGTCAGCAAGTGCAGATCCGACTCGCCCTTCTTGGGGTTGGGGACGACGTAGCCCAAGTTTTGGAATGCCACAGTCACTGGCACTACCACTTCCACGGCAGCCGACAAATCCTTGGAAATCGAATCGGTGGTGTGTGGCGTCGGTGGCGTGCTCACATAACCGTCGACAGTGTCCGTTTCGAGGGCGGCAGGCGCATGGACATGTTCGTGGGCATGGTATCGTTTGGCCTCGAGCACGACACAGCTCAGGAACGTTAAGAGGACGTAGCACGTCAACATGAACGCCATGGCGTAGCTAATCCAGTTGGTGTCGGTGGGAAAGTCGAAAAGACGCAGCTGGAAGTCGCCCATGGTTTGGTTGAGCGCAAGTATGTAGTTGAAGCCGTCAAACGTGTCATTCTGAAACACCGGGGCCGTGTACTGGTTGATGGCCAGCGCCCGCATGACCCACGCCACGGGGTTGATCCAGAACAGCCAGATAAAGTACACGGGGATGTCCTTTTCGACAATGACGAACCCGCCAAACAAGATGAACACAACCACGGACATCATGGCCAGCGGCTTTGCCACGTGCAAGTCGGGCGAGGCGCTGCCAACGAAGAAGAACCACGCAGAAAATGCAAAGCTCACAAGGAACAGCATGCACATGTACGTCACATACGCCGTCGCGTCCATCACAAATCCAGACACCCAGTACATGATGTTGCCAAACACGAGCGTCTCCAAGGTGGCGAAGGGGATCTGCGACACCGAGTACGCCACCACAAAGCTGAGCGTGCTGAAAAAGTTGGCGTCGCGCTGCTTGTAAAATATGTGGCGGTTGTCCAAGATCGCAGGTAGGTTGGGAATTTGCGATACGATGAAGAACTGGAGCGACTGAAACGTGACCCCGATGACCACCTGGGGCAGCTGCGGGTCCACCTGGTAAAAGCTGCTTCCGTACAACAACCCCATGGTCAACGTCATCATGACACGGGAAATGATGAACACTCGGTTCCGCAGCACCACGGTGAGTTGCCGCTTGATGAGATGGGTCACACTCTTGCCAAACGAATTGTGAAACGCGGGGGTTTGCTGCATGTAGCTCGACGTGTCCGCCAGCAGTTGCGGACTGGCGGGGCCCTTCGCGCAGTCAACCATGGCTTGATGCATGGCAGACTGTTGGAACAAGGATGCGAATTCACTGGGCAAGCAGGGAACAGTGGCGCCATCTCCAACTGCCAAGTATTGGTCTTGTTGCGTGGTGCCCAAGTCGAGCAGGAAGTCGGCTACGTCGCGGTAGGGTGGACACGTGAACCCCATCGCTTCAAAGTACCCCACTGCATCCAATCCACGGCCGTGGTACATGATATAACCTTGGTTGAACAGAATCACGTCGTCGAACAGGTCAAACACTTCAGGCGCTGGCTGGAGCAAGGCTACGACAATCGTCTTCTTCAAATGGCGAGCCGCGCTTTGCTGGGCTTTGATGATGTCAAACGTCGCAGCCGAGTCGAGCCCGGTGCTGATTTCATCGAGCAGGGACACGGGTTTCATGCCAAACTCCATTTCGCCCACGGTCACGCGCTTCCTCTCGCCCCCAGACACCCCCCCCGAAGCATCACGTTGCCCACGACCGTGTCTTTGCAGTTGGTCAAACCCAATTGTTGCACCACCACGTCCGGGTACACCGCGTAGAGCGCTTGAAGCACGCGGACAGCGTCGGCGTTTTCGTCAGATGTGCCATGCACAAGGGCGTCCAGCACATGACGTGGCACGACGGCGCCGCCGTGGCATTGATGGGCAAAGGCCAGCGTTTCGTGCACACTCAGAGTGTGGTAGTGGTGGTCACGTTGGCCCGTGTACGCGATAAACTGCGGCAGGCGATGCTGCAATTCAGCCTTGGTGAGGCCGTTGTAGGTGATGGTGCCTTGGACCGTAGACGATTTTGTGACGGGAAATATGCCTGCCAACGCTTGCATGAACGATGACTTGCCCGAACCAGGCTGGCCCAGCACCAGGGTCATGGTGCTAGGTTTGAGCACTCCTGTGACCGGGTGCACAATATCCTTGGTCACGCTGTGTTTTCGGTTGCAGAGACCCACGAACGACTTCTTGGCATGGTTCCAAAGTGTCGGCAGATCGTGTTTGCCTTGCTTGGACGCCAGCACGAGCTCGGCGGAGATGGACAAGTCGTGGAAGCGAATTTCAAGTTGTGGCAGCTCGTGGCCCAATGCAGCCTCGACCGTGCGGGACGTGGTAGCGTGGAACGTGTCCGAGCCATTGGCCAGGAATCCACTGGCTGAGATCATGGTTTAGTGTCGCTGCACAAGAGCAAATCGAATTATAACGGTGTTTGAAATCGGTGTCCCTACACGTCCCTTCAAAAACGTGGCGAATCATGGGATCAGTCGAGTCATTGCGACGGACGATGATTGGTAGCGGATCTTCGGTCGATTCCTTTATACATAAATGTATCGGTCCGATGCAAAATTCAAGCAACACGTACAATACTACGGATAGTCCCCGTTACGTTACTAGTACTCAGGAGTAGCACACACTTGTTGAGAGTTGTTGGGGCATCACTGTTCTCGAGCGGTAGTAGTATTGCAGTGATAAAGATCTGTGCGATTGACGTACAGTACGAGCTTAACGAGATGATTCATGTGCATCACCTTAACAGTAAAAGTAGGCCTGGACAGCACGATATACAGTAGTACTAGTATTACAGTGTACTAGACGTACACCTTTTTTCAGGACGTCACCATACTTTTTCGCGAAATAAACAAACAATTCGTGGCGGTTCCAATTCGTTCGTTGTATATTCGTTATATTTCGCCTGCAACCAAGAAGATTGCAGTATATTTCAAGCGATGTTCCTTATGTGTCACTGTGTATGAGCTCAATTCAGCGAGTGGCTCAATATATTTCGGGGTGGAATCCATATATTTCAATAAAAAATGTAAATCAATCTGACTTTCGACGTAAAATGCAATTGTTGGTCGATCAGGCTCCAACTTCCATGTCTTTCATGTTCTCCGCGGCCGTAGAAGTATTCGAGCGGCAACATGTAACGCTGCAGGCGATTCACGTCGACATCTATAATGTAAAAGTTACATTGATTGTCATCGACGAAAATAACCGATAAAAGGTGTACTAGTAATAGTTTTTAATGCATTACCTCCTCTTGGATGTCATGCGTAATCTGAAATGCTCGACGAAACTGCTAAAGCACGTCACTCCGTTGCCGCATGGAAATCTGCAGGCAAATAACACGAGCAATTGAACGAATTGAAACAACGATTCATCGTCTGACTGCAAGTACAGTGTATACAGACAGTACTGCCGTGCTGCAGAGCAGAATTGTGGTCGCTTCGATGGATTCATGGCGAAAGTCAAAGCCTCCATGCCAACATTCCTGCTTCGTGGGAGTACTACTATAGTAGGAATGACCGACCACTCAACGGAGTGGTAATACAATTACTGTCATGAATATTATCACTACCAATCAGTGATGTTTACGCCAAGCTCGAGGAATCTGATTGGATATATGCACTACCTTACTGGTACTAGCTTCCGAAATACTACTGTACAGTATCTCGTTTTTAGGGTGACTGGCATATTTCTATTGATGAAAGCTAAATTTTATGCAAATAATTTAGCAATTTCAACGATATCACGAGAAAGCCAATATACCAAGCTTTCGATTGGTACAAATTTCATTGAAATCCATCAAAATTGACAAAGTTTGTGAAGGCAAAGTTGAAACGAAACAGAATTTCGGAACGGTAGTATTTCCTTGTCAAAAATTCGTATTCGATATTTCTTTTGTTGAATTTCCACGTGAGAGGTACAAACATTATCAATCGCAATTTTCACAAGGATTTCACAGTCAATATTTGCAAAATCACCCTACTGTATCGCACTTTCAAACGATGAATTACTGTAACCACGAAGGAGCAAGCGTATGCGGATAGTACGATCGTATGTTGCGCAGGGTATCACGGCAAGTGTTCCTTTACATAATGGTTGTGATTGATTTTATATAACGTTACTAGTAGTTGGATAATACGATTACCGGTAGTAGAATATAGGAGGCTGTTAATGTGGATCCTTCATCCTTTGAAAGTGCGACGCAGTACTGTAGCGGGTTTTTCTGGCAAGAATGTCGACCACGCTGTTGGATATTTATGACGCGCCGAAGTTGACTTAATGACAAGAGGTGCGTGAGTGGTATGTATGTTGTATGCATCCCAACAATCCATATGTTTAACCTTGGTACTACACTAGTACTACGTAGTTGGTAGTGCAATCACAGTCTGACGTTAAAGATTGGATTGACTTTACCGTACTTTACTGTTAGGTGAAAGACCATTCATTTTCCAATTTCCATCATGAAGTACGCACTCCTCGCATTCACCGTGGCCGCCGCTGCCTTGGCTCAAGACCACATTGTCCCAGCCGAAGTCGTTTGGGGCGATGAGGCCCCTGACGACGGTTTCGAAATCCTCGGGGGCCAGGAAGCCCAATTCGGCAAGCACCGTTATGTGGCTGGGCTCAAGAAGTCACGCGATGCTAATACCACGTGCGGCGGCAGTTTGATCGCCCCCAATGTCGTTTTGACAGCGGCGCATTGTTTGACTGGTAAACTACGTGTCGTGGTCGTGGGCACGCACTATTTAACCGGTTTTGCCGACGGAGAACTGGCCAATATCATCCAGGAAATCAAACACCGCAAACCCACCGACGTGGGCATCGCAATCTTGGACCGCAACATCACGACCATCCAACCTGTGGCGGTGTCGTTTGAATTCGTTCCGGCGGGCGTGCTCACTTGGGTGCGCGGCTGGGGACTCGTCACGAATCGTGGCTTCCAACCGCAAGTGCTCAAGGAGGTCAACGTCACGACCTGGAGCAACACCGCGGCCTCGGCTGCGTTGTCCTTTCCATTGGCCGATACGACACTGAGTGCTGGAGGCGTGGAAGGAGAAGACGCGTGTACCGGCGACTCGGGGGGACCGTTGACCATCGAAGAAAACGGTACCGCGCGCTTGGTGGGGGTGTCCAGCTGGGGCTTTAGCTGTGGTGTACACGGCGAACCAGGTATCTATGAACGCGCCAGCGCTATTCGTAACTTCATTGAACCGTACTTGCCGAAATAAGTCAAACATGCGCATGCCATAATGAAAGCGACATCGCCAACATCCAACCCACTTAGTTGAGCATACAACCGACTTGGTTATGGAACGCCAAACTCGCTCGTGTAGTACGTAATGTGTTTTAGTTAACTTGATAAATACTCGGGAGTACTGTAACCATTATGGAGCAGCACCTGAATAGCGCGGTATGATTCGCGATATTGAAGCACGCAAAGCCATTCTGTCAGTGGAAGATATGTACGTTTGTATGCTCGTTGCAATCTCTTGCATCATTGACAAACTATATTAACATGGAGAACATGTTCTAACATTAGTGGCACTGAAGATCTCTTCACGAAACGTTTGCTGGGATTAATATTATTGTTGTGTTTATTCTAAACTGGAGCGACATGGAGAATACTACCTCTGTCCAATAATAAGTGTTCGTATTTCGAAAAGTCCAGTTTTTTCTCCAGCCAATCTGAATTAGGATAAAGTAAAGCTATCCGAAGAACAAGGAAAGTGTGGGCTATCCGAATAGCATAATATGAGCATCTTAAACTTAAATCAAAACCTC